ACAAACAATACATCATTCTTAAATGTTAAGCATTTTAAAATCTCTTCTATTTCCTTTGAGGTACTCATGGGAAAACAGTGGTGCATTTACAGAGAATGACAAAAAATGTTTTGATATCACAAAGAATGATTAAAATATCTCATTTTCTACTGCAGAAATGTGCAAGAGCTCCTTTTACTGTACAACTGGCTGACCAGCAACAGTGCTACAAAGAATGACAAAGTCATGTGGAAGAGCATAACGAGAGGAAAACAATTTGAGTTTTAATTGAAAGGACTGCTTACACAGTCTTGGAATTTGGTTCATTTTATGGCTTGTTACAAGAAGTAAATTCACCAATAATTCTGGTTCACATCTACATGTGAAAAATTCCATCTTTGTGCTAAATAGAACTTTACAGTTGAAACCGGCTGCCTGCAAGGTACCCTAGCATGATTCTGGGGCAAATTTTGCCATTAGACTCTAAAACCCTCTTTGGAATCAGGTATGTCTGCAGTATACCCATCCACCATTAACATACCAACACATGACTTTTTACCTTCCCTGGAGCAGAAATTTCGATTACTGCATTTCTAATTCAGGAACAAAATTTCTACGATAAATAGAATTCTAGAGATAGTTAACTGAAGCTGAAATACTTAAATATTCTGTGTATCACGTGCATAGTTGGGGCTTATAAAAGAAAGACACAAAGCCTGAGCACCAAATCAATGGAGAAGGATGAAAGAAACATAGTGCAAGAGAAGGTACAGGGCTAGCTGGACCACATCTGATCAACCCAGGGCAAACACCAAAACTCAAGAGTATCATACAAAGGGACTGATAAGAATATAGCTAAAAGTGCTTTTGTAAGACAGATCAGCTAACTGCTGTCTCCAGACAGCGGTCAGAAAATAGAACGATGAGAAATAAATTCACAAAACAATGAAGAAATCAGGAACAGGGCAAGGTGGGGTTCTGAGCTCATTTTCTGTTACTGTAAGGAGGCAGCTTACAGAGGAGAACTACATGCTATCTCTCCACAGAGGACCAACTCACTTTCACCAAAGATACTGCAGAAGATTAAACGAGAGAAGAAATGAATGCGTCTTTACTCCCAGCCCCATCCTCTAAAAAAACCCCCCGAAACATTGATCAATCAGAACAACATTGAGTTTAAAAGAAGAAAGAAGAGATTTACTTAACGTATCATTTGAATCAACAGGTTTAGAAGAAAAAAATTGTTTCAAGGCCAGGGAGGGAGGTAAGGATTGATTTTGTAGAAATATCATCATCACTGTTCTTTAAGAAAAAGAAACAGAAAACAAAACAACCCTGAAGAGATTCGTGGAAGTTTTCAAGTATCAGTGATAAACCCCTATTCTTCTGGACCCTTTTCAGAAGATATATTTCTATGGATTCAATTACACTGAAGTAACTGGTTAAGGGAATTGTAATCACAGAAAAAGACGAATGCATGTGTTCCTCTGTGTACATACAATACCCACAAGGCTTATGAAATCCATTCACAACAGAGGAAATACTCTAAACATATTTTAAAAGGCTCTGTCAGCAGTCTCACAGCAAGGCTCATTCACATTTGTAAGTCACGAGGAAAAAGCTGTTTTCTGTCCATGCTGTATGAACAGATTTTGTTTGGTCTACAGCTCATATTTAAGTTGCAAGTAAATAAATCATCCTGGCTGAATTAGCTGACAAATCACATCCACGGTATTGAGAATAAATATTTGATTGGGACTGAATTAACTCTTTGCAGATTTGTGCTCATGTTTACACATACTAGAGCTTCATGTAGAAAAAAAACGAGATATGTAGAATATTAATCAAATTGTAGTGAAATATGTTTACCTGGGGGGGGGGGGGGGGGGGAAAAAAGTGCAAGTGCAAGCCAGACTTCTTCCCATTTTACTTTTATAATCAGTTTGAACATAATATGTTGACACTCTCGTTCAAAACCAGATTGGACAGGAGGATAGAGCATAGTGAATCCTGACAAGCTGAAATGTAAATTAAGATGTTTTCGTGTCTTTACACATGCAATTTTGTGCCTTCCAGGGAAACTGGTACATAATAACAACTTGAGCTTTATATGAAGTTCCCACCTTATTTGCAGGCTTAGAGAATACAATAGCACTGAGGCTAGATTGTTATTAAACAAAGAGGTGACTAGGAGCTGAAAATCAATGCGCTAATCATAACAAAGATGTAGTCATTTTACAACATTTTGGAGTGATTTTGCATCAGATGAAACCCTGTGGGACAGTATTAACAAATGACTGTTTGGCATCACGTAGTGCCTAAACTGAACAGGATACTAAAGCACACACTCTTGTTTAAGAAAAAAAAAAAAAAAAAAAAAAAAAAAAGTGTCATGCTATAAAACTGCAGCAAATATTTCCACAAGTCCTTCCAGCCACATCCCCCCTCCCTCTTTTAAGCTGTCAGGAACTGTTTCCCAAGGCTCCTGGAGGACTGTGATTATTAAACTAAACACCACGCAGTAGAATGCAAGCTGGATCTCGCTCTCCATACTCCCATTTTAAAGGATGGCAGTAGAAACATTAGCTATTCCATCCTCAGTGGCATTCAGATATGTTTCTCTCTTTCTGTCACACAAAAATAGTGGTGAACACATTCCTTTTGTCATTTTCCTTTCATGTTTCTATCTGTGAAGAATAAAGAATTAAGAAGGATTTATCTTTGTCGCGAGTCCTATTAACTGTTCACCCTGTCATCTACAGCATAATCTATTTATGTAACATTTTGTAAAACTATAAGGAACAATCTTTTCCAACGAGCAGCAGGTGAATTAATGACCTGCTGGTTCTCGTTACACTACGTTTAGGACAATTAGAGGTCTGGGCCAAACGTCTGGCTGAAATAAGCCTTCCCCCGCACAAAGGGCATATGCATAAAAAAAATTTTGAAGGGAACCAAAGGGTTATGTTATTATATGATCCTTCAGACAATCAGAAACATGGGGCACTTGTAGGTGTTGCCTTGACCAGTTTGGCATAAAACACACTTTTCATTGTACTGCTAGATTTGACTCAGCCATGAGTAGTTCAGTGTAGTAGAACAATGGAGTAGTTCGAAGTAGTTCAAAGTACAGAGGTGATTTAAAATCAATTCCTATAAATGTGAACATTCAATATTGGAAATTTTTAAAATGCTAAAATAGTTAAAATACTAAATGGTTTTAAATGAAACATGAATACCTGTCAAAACAATGAAGTACCTAATCAGTGCTTACAATTAGGAAATTTTACAACTGAAATTCTGTTTATAAAATAGTTTCTTTAAAGTTTCCAGTTACCTTCTGCTTTAACAGACTTGCAGAAAAACGACTAAGAGAACAGCAGGTTTCCAGAACTGCCTTTTCAAGTTAATCAGGGTACAGCAAACCTGATTCTACACAGGTTCAGTTCTGCTAACATCACAAATGAATCACTGTGTTTATACGTTTAATCTCTCAAGATCTCAAGTTATTCACGTCCTCCTTGGCTTTTGCAGGATTAGAACCTAAGTATGTTGTTTCCTCCCTCTCCCGTCCTGTCAGTAAATGTGGGATCAGAGTTCAGAACATGCCTGATTTTGTTCTCCTAATCTCTAGTAATCTTCTCAGCAACACAGTATCTGTTGCAGAATATCAGGAGGCCACATCTAAAGAGGAACAGTTAGTGGAAACATTAAGTTACATCCATATTTATCAAAGCAGACTCCATAGGCTGCCAAAAGGTAAAACAATATCTAGTCACATGCTCAAGTAGTGCTAAATATTAAGGTCAGTATTACCTTGAGGTCAGTAATTTCCCTCACTCACAAAGCTGATTTACAAAGGGTAGAGCTTGTGTTGCCCAGATGTGTTGCTACTTTAGCTCCTGACACAAAGTTCAAGGGAATTCACGGCTCTGTGAAAACACAACTAACGCAGTGCTGGAGTTTTACAGTGTGAAAATTTAACTGGTGGATTCAACCAACAGAACCCTCTACAGTGGTTCTAATGGGTAGAGGATAGAAGACTGTCATCCTTCAAAGTCACTTGTTTCATCAGATAGCACAGAGAGAAGTAAAACAGTAAGACAGTAGATTTTGGCAAAAATGGAATCCAAAGCTGGGACGGATGCTCTACAAAGGGCATTCCCAGCTGAAAAAAACCCATAAAAATCTGTCTCTGGAAGTCTGATCATCTTCAGTGACTGAAGCAGGTATGAAAAGGATATGAAAAAAAGTTCAAGAAGAAAAAACATGCAAGGACTGAGACCTCACTTAAATGTCAGTTATGAAAATGTATGTGTCCAAAATCCGTCTTCAGCTCAGTATTTGCCAATACAGGTAATCTCTTCTCATTATATGTGTATTCAAATGCCTGTTACAGTTACTCAGATGTTCTGCTGTCTGTACTGCCACAAGGCCAGATCTAATTACCATTAAACAAAACAGAAAGACTATCACTGGCATCAGTCCTTGTTGAAACTATGTTGACGTTATATTATATTGATATTTATAGAAGAAAAACCTTTCCCTTCCTTTCCTCAGTTTTAATTAAGAAAACAGAGAAGAGCCTCACCTTTCATGAAATTCATTCTGTCTGAAATTCAGTATTTCATTGAGTAAGAGCGATGTTTTCCAACATGTCTCCTTGTTATTGCTTGTTAGAAAATGATATCATACAATGCTGATATAGGCAAGAAATGCTGATGTTCAATTTTGTAAAACTGCAATCTTATTTTGGGGTCTGTTCTTTAAAAGTTGAATTAGGACAACAGTTGTTGACAGAGCTTAGCAGGCTGTTCAAGGAAATGTAGTGTAGTAAAACTACGCTGCTTTTTAAATATATCTTTTTAATCCTTGCAGCAGATAATCCTCTTTGCAGTAGGCAGGAATATGAATATCCTCGATGGTTAAATCCTTGCTTTTCAAAATTAAGATTTGCAATTTTTTTCTGCCTTAAAACGTATCTACAAGTATTACTTAAAATTTTGCTTGGCTCAATTTACCTTCCATAAGCAAAGCGCCTATCTTTGTGGTGGTCCCCAAACGTATCCCACAGCCTGAGAGAAACACTCACTTCATCCACAACATCTCTCGAGCGTTCAAGGACCTAGAACAGAACACACATAACATTCTCTTTCCCTCCATCAAATGAGCACATTTGTAATTTGCTCCGTAAGAAGGCCCAAAGCATACCAGACCAAGAGTCTACTATACACAGCTTTCAGCAAATGCTGGATTTTATAAACCAGGCAGAATATGCATCCTTCTAAAAATAGGTTTGATTAAAAAAAAATTACTTTGGAATGAGAGACTGGGGAGATGCATATCAGACCACGGCTGCAGTAGAGACCGTGCATAAAATACTTGTGAGCTCGTTGCTGCATCCTGACAGAGAAAAGGTTTGCCAATAAATAATAGTACAACCTCACAGCATGTGCTCTGTATTTTGTACACCTGCAGTCCTTACCTCTTGGCAGACACGGTACTGATCAATGGCCCAGACAGTTGGTACGTGAGTTGCCAGCAGCTGATACTGAGTCAAGGTTGTATTGCATGCTCTCGCACAAATTAGACGAGTCTTTCCCACTGCGTTATCTCCAACCACCACACACTTGATAGTTTCAACGTTGGGTCTTTCGTAGTCCATGTCAATGTCCATTTATCAAAAACTGTAACAAGACAGTTAAACTTGTTTTCTACCACACTGCAAAAGCAATGCTGTTTCGAATCAGAGCCTTCTACTTGAGAGATGCCTAAAGAGGACAAACTCTAAAGGAAAAGCTTGTTAGTAAACTGTACCAAAGCAAGCCAGCCGTTCCTTTAAATACCACACAGTTATGCAAATGCACAACTATTTTGACCACAGTCGGTTGATGCTGTTCACATGCTATTTTCACTTTGGTTTCTGTAAACACAAGCCTGTTTGCAGAAGACAGATCTTGGTGAAACAAGGACAGCTAGCACAAACTTACCTCTTGCTAATACTTTTTATGTCAAGAAGTAAAGACGACTAGACATCAGTGGGTTTAACCTGAAGGATACCAGTATCAACCTGCCTTCTGTAATCTTGCTCATTCAGGATTTGATTTAGGGCTGTCCAAACACTATTGCTAACAGCAAGTCACACACATGGTTTTAGTTACACGCACACAATAAAACTGACTTGTAAGATGACTCCAGAAACTCTGTTCTTTACAAACCACAACTCCCATTATATTCTGCATGTACCACACACTCTTAATTTTCCAAGGAGCAGTTTGTACAGATCATGGACTAAAATGAAACCAAACAGCCCAGCAGAAACTTGCAAATATACTCATCTATACCTACAAATTATTTTTCACACAACAATGGAAACTGAAAAGAAGGAGATTTTTGAAGATACCATCCTCATGGAAAGTTACAGTTGAAAATATTTTCTGAAATATTCTATAGCAACATATTGAACAAATGCCCGGACATGAATGTAAGCTGGAAAAAAATGGACATTTGGAAAACTAAAAACTGCACGTTTACTACAGTCTGTCATCTTCATATAAAGGAATGTAGGAGTTTCATATAAAGGAACGTGGGATCATTGTTTGATATATCTGATCGTGGTTTTCGAATGTCTAGTAGTCTGCTGAGCAATCTGGTCTCTGCCAGGGAATTGTAATCAAGGAAACAGAAAAGGGAAAATGCAAGGCACAAACATGTTCAGGAAGACTTGCCTAATAATTATTTCAGCAAGGAAACCAACAGCAATTTAACTGACAAAACACAGGTAATCATCTGGAGTGATGGTGTCGTTTTTCCTGAGAAGAAAGCACTACAGATAAAGAAATCAAATTATTTGTTTTAATAGCTTTTTTAATATTCACACCTCATTCACACATAAATATACAAAATACATTAACTGTCAGCCTGCTTAAAATAATAGTTACAAGCTGTTTTGGTGTCCATTTTTCACTGTCAGAGGCAGTACTTTCTGACTTAAGAAAAAGCATGTTTAGTAATTACCAGCCAAACATTAATTTTAACTGCATTCTTTCATTATTTAAAGTGATGTAAACCAAGAAACAAAAGTCAGTGTTAGAACTAAATGTTACCCATTTTTTAAAAATTTGGGCATGGACTGCATGCTAAGAGCTATAATGGCTGAGGGGCAGTTATAATCTTTATTTACGTGTGGACAGGAGTTACAAGCCACAGAGGCAACAAGGAGCAAGGGTGAGTTCATGCCACTACTGTGTCACGCTGATAGGTTTTCACGGCCGTTGAATGCTTCTGGAAAGGCTACGGCACAGACTAGCATGCAAGAATACATTTTGGAGAGTTGTCCTACCCTAGACTGAAACATGGGCCCACAAACTCTTCATCCTGGCACGAGAACATTGTTGCACGACTAGAGCTTTGCCAGATCTGCCAGCTGCAGAGCAAGTCACATGGCTTCAAACATACGTGTAGCACGGTATCTACTGCATGTAAACCCTAATGGCCTCGTGATGCCAACCTCCGGTGTCGGCACAGAGGTTTCAGCTGATTGGGAAACAAAGCTATTGAGACATTGCTGTTATCCCTTCAACCTGCATCCTGAAAGGTTAATAGTCTTGAGGTAAAGGACTACAGAGACTTCCAGTTCTCTGTCTGCAATCCAACCACAGCTGGCTGTTGGATGCAAGCTCCCACAAGGCTTGTACCATCTCCACGCAAGCTCCCACGGGCTCTGTACCATCTCCAGGAGTCCAAATACAAGAAGAGATATAAGAGCTAACTCCTCTTTCCTCCTCTGCACCCTTTCCAAGAATACAGTCACAATATAAATAAAAGTACAAAACCAATGTTGTTTTCCACATTACAGAGAACGAGACACATTTGTACTCCACAGCTTCAAAGACAGGGCCCTGCATGGGTAGCAAAAACCCAAGAGGTTTCAGTATGTGACCTAAAAAAAGTTTCATTTCAAGTCTGAGAATAAACAGCAACCCCCTGACATAATATGTGGTATTATATTACTTGATATTTTATTCATGCATGGACTAGACATCACAGATGGAATGTGGAAATGTTTACAAGGCTGGAAAACAAAATGAAGGAGCGTGGCTAGCCAGTGTGTCTGGTAGATTTTAAACTACCAAGCCGAGGGATGCCAAACCAATTTTTCTTCCAACCCAATATTCCATTAAAATGCTGTTACACAGATTAGCTGAGGTTTTATATAACAACCTGATTTTAAAATTATTCAGAAGTTCTTAAATGGTAGTTCTGCAAAAATGCACTTTAGTCAGTCACAAAATATGTATTAATACAGAGTCTGGAATCTTTAAAAAAAAAAATTTCCAAGAGGATAGCAAATGCGAGTATAGCAAATGCGAGTTTATTTAAATAGACAAATCTTAATTAAAGGAACAAGAGAAATCAATGCAATTATTTGAGAATCCTAGAAAAGGAACACATGAAAATAAAATTTAAAAATTATTAAAACTTCCAATATACTTGCTAACTTAATTAAAGCAAAGTTATCGCAGAACTCAGACACAGCATGCCCAAATGCCCTGTTGTAGATCAATGGCAGTCTAATGAAGATATTTTTAGTGTGACTCAATACTGCACAGGACAGAGATTAAAATAAACTGGGAATAAAAACAAACTTAGAGCCTTGTGGCTATGTTAAGGAAAGTTCTTAAATCCACGGCAGCATATACAGAGTATCTATATATTAAAAACGCAGATCATTTAAATAAGTACTCACTAGTTTTCAGAAAGGGATTAAAACAGAAATAACTCCTGAAGAGACTGATAGACCAGACAGAAACCTGGACAGATATTTAGACACCTCAAATAAAAACAGATGCTAACAACAAATTACAGCACAAACAATTAGCAAAATGTGTGGATTAAATGGTTATAAATGTAGCCAGAAGCCTTCTGGCTACTGGAACGATTAAAGCCAGGAATATATAAAAGATCTTAAAAATTCAGCCACAGTTTTTTTTTTTTAAGGTAGCCTCTAGGTTAAGCTTGTGTTAAACCTATTATATAATCACACTGATTAAAAGTGCAAAACATGTATTTACAAAACTTAAATAAAAAAAATCCAGATTTGAGCTCTGAAAGTCCAGTAACATCTGGGAGGACCAACTGGAACTGAAACAAAACTGGTTAGACAAGAGCAAACCAGTGTATATAAAGGATAATTAAAAACAAAACAAAACAAAACAAACAAAAACCAGCATAAAATTCCAAGACCAATGAAAAACTTGCTAAAACCAACCCACAACCTGCAATAGTTTAGTTTATCAACAAAACAAAATAGGGTGAAGTATGAGGAAAGTTACTGGAAGTGTGACCAGTCACCGAGAGGACAGTGCAAAAAAGCCAGAGAAAGAGCGAAAGGCCATCACATGAGGAGCAGTGAGAACCCTACCAGGGGAAAGATCTGATCAAATATGGCACTTCCCAAAAGCAAGCAGCGAAATATTCAGCTGCTTAATCCAGTTCTAAAGAGAAATGAGCAGCTGGAGGGAAATGAAAAAAGATACCTGCAAGAATAAGAGAATTTTTACATTTTCGCATTGTCACCTGTGATTGTTTGCAGATGAAGAGGAGACAAAGGCAGCCAAAAATCCAGAGATGTAAGACGACTCAAGATCTAAGATAAAGCCATTTAATTAATTCACTTGATTAGCAGCCAAATAAAGCTGATTTATTTCCAAAGAAGTATAAGTTCTGAACCACGGCTTGCAGATGGTTACGGTCACTGATTTCTTTCTCTGTTGCTTTCACCTCAAATTGCTGTAGAGTGCTTGATTTTTTGTTTAGTTTTTCCTCACTGCTGAATGAATTGTTATTATTTTTATTTTTTTTTTCTAATTGTTATTATTATTATTATTATCTTCTGGAGAGAAAGTGGATGAAGATCCACACCCAACAGTGAGTTCCCTGTGCAGGATCAGGGATGACTATGCAGCTCATTGCCCATTTTGAAATGTCCAGGTACTTTAAATCATCACTTAGCATATACAAAAAATAACCAAGATTTTTTTCAAAGAGCAGTAGCTAATTATCAACCCTGTTCTCTTCAGCAAAACACCACCACCAAAAAAAAAAAATTACTAAGAATGTCTACATTAATCAGTGATTATGGAGTGATCCTGCAGGAATTTACTTCTTAGCTCAGTACTTAAACATGTCTCATAAGACTGAGATAACACCTCTTAGCACTAAAACAAGCATGTTACTTAGGTCTTGTGTTAAGGGAAAAGCTTCAGCTGAAGTTTCAGAGTGACAGCATGGAAGAACCTTGCCTCCTCAGTAAAGTTTTTCTTTAATTTATTCCACGGAAAAAAAAATGAGTAATTCCAACCCGTCTCAAATAATCTGACCAAATCAGGATGTTCTTCAAACATACAGGTTGCCAGCCACAACCAGAACATCACAACTTTATTGAAGGAATCGAATGGAAAGAGACACCAAAATCTACCACCACTTAATATGTATGGTGTGAGTGGGAATTATCTGAAAAGCTCAGGCCACCAGTAAGGTAGTAAGACCATACACATTTATCCCTGAAAAGCATACCCTTTTGAAACTACATGAAAGAGCATTCGTAGGTACTCCGCATCTCAGTCTACTGGAGTTTTGTAGTGACTCCTTCAGAGAGCCATTATGCAATAACATATCAAAAGGA